AAGTTCTTCTGGTGGTGACTGGTTCAAGTCAGGTATATGTTTTAAGCACAATTTCTTTTTCCTCTTGAGTTGGGTCTAGTTGATTAGTCAAGGCTTGGTTGTTCAGGAGGAAGATATAATACAAGCATATGATGAAATAGCAATTCATATTGCTGGGTTTTTTGTTGGTTGGATTGGAAAATGAGTATGTGATTCTGGTTTTTTAGGGTGCACTCACAATCTTGCAGTGTCTGTTCAAGGGTGGTTATAAGCTCCACCTGCCAGACGGTCTAACTTGCGGCTGAAGTAAATTTTTATCAAGCTTGGTTGTATGACTCTTGGTGAGGAAACAACAGGACCCTTCCCAAAGTTACAAAACATCCATAAAACTCAGGAAGCTCATGTTTGATTGTACAAAACATGCTACAATGATATCAAGTCAGTAATTATTTGAGTTTGCACTAGAATCCAAGATTCTAAAACCAAACTCTATTTTTACATACAAGACAAAAAAAAAATCAAAACCTCAAACTTGACCAAAAAGGCCGTTCCTATGTAAAACTTTTAAAAACATGGTATCTGACCAAAGATGATGACAACCAGTATGAGATACATACATAGTTGTCTCGGAGGGCTCTCCAAATCCATCCCTTGCAATGTGATGGCCGTGAACTTCTGTACTGAAGCCGTATGAATTTGAAAGACTTCTTTTGTAACAAAAAAGAAGGAAAAGCAACTTGAATGGGGTTGCGCAGTTGCTGTACATATCCGCACTTTCGCGGATCATGTGCTACATACCCGATCCGATGTGAGGGGTCAGCCGATCATGGTGATCTGCAGTTAGCTCATCGCTCGATGGCCGCTGGGTTTTCCTCACTTCCTCCAATTGACCAGTCCTGTCCAACTCAACCTGCTGCTATACACACCGTATTGTCTAACCTTGCAGCGATCTATTTGCCAGGACATCCTCACGAATCGATTCTCATCCAGCCTGCGATAAGGCTTCGATCCGACCAACATGGTGAGTGGTACTACATATCTCATGGACTCTTCTTCCTTGCCGTTGTGATCGATTCTATTACTAAACTATGTGAGCTACGTATATTTACAGGCACAAGTTCGGATTTCGGATCCAGGAATCAGTGAAGCCTACCATCGTATCACCGCTGCTGATCCTGAGATAGATTATATGTTGCTATCTTATGTCGGTCAAACAAATGACCTCAAGGTTCAGGAGCAAGGGACGGGCGGATTGGCCGAGCTACAAGATAGTTGGAATGACGGTCGGATTCAGTTTGCCTTCGTAAGGGTGAAAGAAGCAGGATCTGGCTTGACTAAATTTGTCCTGATTGCGTGGGTAAGGAGAACTCAGTGTCGATTTTTTGAGCCCCAAGCATAAGTCAAAAAGTACTGAAATCATATCTACCCTTCAATCAAACAGTGTGGCGATGGCGTACTTGAATCACGCAAAGGTCTTTTTCATTCACACGCAAGCACAGTGGCTCAATTCCTCAAAGGGTTGGCGCTTTGGACAATTTTTATGTCTTGCTATGTCATATGGTTTGCTGATTGTATCTGACTCCTCACTTGCTACCTAGGTATCACGTCCAGATCAACGCGAGATGCGACGCCGATGTCGAGCCTTCCCATATCATGAAAAAAGTAGCCGATTCTAGCGGTGCCAAGTATAGCGTACATAATGAGAAACCAGTCAAACGAGAGATGCCTGCGCCTGTGGTATGTGTCCTAGTAACAGTCTGGAGATCAGTGCATCGATTGATTTTGCTTTCATAGGGTACGAATTATAAACCTATCGGACGTCCAGACATTGCTTCCATGACCAGCAAGCAAAAGCCCACCCCTCCTGCCCCAGTCGGTACTTCGTATACGCCTATGAAAAATGAACTAGCTGAGATCAGAGCCGCGCGAACAGCTCCTTCGGTAGCCCCAGTACCAGCCCGGGCTCCTGTCGGGCGCAACATGAATGATGATGATTTTGAGCCGACAATCAAAGCTACTTCTACCCCTCCACCACCAGTCATTCCTACCCGCCCGCCTGCTACCCAAGCTCCTGCACAACCAAAAAGCACACAGGAAAATGATAACGAAGGACGCCCGGGTTATGTTGTAGGTTCAATATCATCGTTTGGCTTGGGTTTGTATGCAAAATCCAAACTGATTGGCCCATTTGAAATTTTATCAGGGAACCGCATATACTCCGGTATCACTTGGGAAACCCGGGAAGCTTGGAAGTAGACTCTCAGCCTTCTCCACACCGCAAGAAGTCAATCCCGCAGTTTCGGCCGCGAGTGGTGGTAAGAAGATGACCTGGGCTGAGCGCCAAGCTCTAGCAAAGAAGGTGGCCGCGGAAGAGGAAGAGCGCAGTCGAGCTGCCATTGAAAAGAGCAATCCTTTGGGTAACCGGATTCCTTCGGCTGGGATGATGGCTGTTCCTCCAGTTCGATCTTATCCTCCGCCCACCCGTGATGATGACTTCGAAACTCCTGCTGCACGAAAAGAAGAATCTGATGACGAAGGCTTTGAGCCCAATGTTGCACAGCCGCCTCCACCGCCTCCTCCTCGTCCCCCATCCCCACCGCCGGCTCCGTCGGAACCGATTATGGCTGATTCCCCGCCACCCCCGCCTCCCCCTCCTCCAGCACCTCCTGCGCCACCACCACCCCCAATGGTCAATCCTGCTCCAGCTGCAGTGATCACCAGTCGCGAAGATCCTGTGCAAAACGTTGCCAATGCGGAAGAGGCACTTCACCAAAAAATGAACAATCTGGCTCTTGAATCTGATCATGCAGCTCCTCCTACCTCCAGTAACGGCTTACGGGCCGTGGTGATATACGACTATCAACAGGTCAGTACCCCTGATTAGTGCCCTTGTACACGTTGAATGGACTGATTTGATCATCCAATGTATCGAAGGCCGACACCGATGAACTGGGCCTGGTCGAAGGAGAGACTATCGTAAATATCGAACAAGTTGATGAAGGCTGGTGGACTGGAATGAGTGAAGATGGCACGCGACAGGGCTTGTTTCCCGGTAAGCTACCAATCCTACAATAGCAATTCGTGCCAAGTCGACTAAGGAGTGTGGTTTGTGATGGCTTCCATCAGCCACTTGTGTGAGCTTGATCACCGAAGGAACAGAGACAAATCAAGAAGAAGAAGAAGCGGTAGCACCCCCACCAGCAGAAGAAGTACAAGAAGCAGTCGAAGCAGTTCCAGCGGGAATCAAGGGAATCTTTGCGATTGCTATGTATGATTATGAGGCCGGGGAAGATAATGAGATCAGTAAGTGGACAGTTTTCGGTTCACATGTCGAGTTTACTCTCAGGAGCACTGATCAGAATCCTATCCATATTATTTGTAGCTTTCCAAGAAGCAGAAGAGATCATTGACATTGAATACTCATCTGAGGATTGGTGGACTGGAACGGTTGCTTCATCTGGCCAAAGAGGCCTATTTCCAGCAAATTACGTTGAATTGCAGGAACAGTAAAGAACAAAAAAAGCTAAATATTTGTTGGACAATTTGAGGAGTTCTCCTTTTTCATTTCTACTTGAAAATCTGCATTGCTTCACAAAAAACAAAAATCAACCTTGACAAATTGATCATCAGATTAAAATCTTTTAATTGGTGTTCCCAATTTGGATCTATGTACTTGTTATGAAATTGATTGACTCAGTTTAACTTTTTTTTTCCAATTATTATCAAGATAGCCAGCCATATTGGCTTGAAAAAACTTAATTCATCATTGTTCAAGTCCCAAATCATTTAGCTGAGCTGTTGAAAACTTAAATAAAGTGGTGATGTGCATAGCAACAGTGGAGTAGTCTTATTGTCCTGTGTGTAACAAGTTCATATGAATCTGTCACTTGTCCACAAAATTCTCCCTGCACATGTGGAATCTTAATTTGTGAGAAACAAAAAAAAAATCCTTCCAACTTGTTGATCCCATGAAGATTTCCCCATTATCCCTGCAGCAGATTTCTTCACAAACTCTTGATAAATTTTGGTTTGAGAGCTCTTATAGGGAGCCAATTCTTTACAGCTTCTGTCAAGTGATTAAGTGGATGTTCTCTCAAGTTTATAGGAATAGCAAAGACAAACAAATGTCAAACCCTTGTAAAATTTCTCAAATGGGGTCTTAGCTCTTGATGGCCTTGTCTTAAGTTTGTAGCTCTCCTGCTACCAATTTTATCTAATAAATTATGAGACATCAAAAGATTGAGAGCAACAACTCATAGACTTCTCTGTAGTCAAATCTGGGATCCTACAACTCTCTCACGAGGGCCTTCAGACTGAGCAGTCCAGTGCGGTGGGCGAATCTAGGAGCAATAAGTCACAGCCAAGTGTATAATCACAAGGCAAATCATCATGACCAAATGAGGAGTAATGAAAAGTCCGATTTGCATTCGCAGCACTCCGACTTCTAAGATTCCTTCCAGGTATGTACTCCACTCGCTTGCCGGTGAAGAACCCTCCTCTGCAAGTAGAACTAAGTTGCTCTCCAAATTGTAATCCAACCCGGAGCGAGTCCCTATAGGCTATACCCTGCATTTGCTTTCAGGGGAGTAATTTTGCAGGTCCTGATTGAGGAGAAATCTTCCCCAGGACTTCGGTAATCCTTGCAAACAACATGCCCACCTGACAGGTAACAAATCGTTCCCGATGGCCTAACAAGGCTGGAGAAGTGTGACAGCCGGATTCGGGACATGATTTTCAACTGTGTTTCATTGGCAATTCCAGTCTGCATTCCTCAACACATCTGGTATGTATCTATTTATCTTGTTGCCCTTGCAATTGAGCCTGTCAAAGCCTGTAAATAAAGGGCATCAACCTCATCAAAATGAAACTTCAGGTCACTTACCTTTCCAAGTCGACTAAGAAATCACGAAGACTGGATAATTGTGTCACTAGTGCGCGTGCTGAACAAGAACATTGCAGGATCACATTCTGCGTAACTGATACACAGAGATCTACACTTCATTATGTATTTCAGGTCTACTTATTGTTTCTAGATTCCGTCAGGCGTCCAG